GCCCCGAGGGGCGGTTGATCCGGATGACAGGCTGTGGACAGGCTCTCCGCGCCGCAGCCCGCTGAAGGTGGGGGACTTTCGGGCGCCTGGGCGCCCTCGCCTCTTTGAGCTGTTTCTGTTGGCCCTTCCCTGGCGCGAGGCTGTCCCGGCTGGTGGTGGGCGCTGTCGCGGGCGACGCCGAGCCCGATCATGTGCGCCAGCTGGTAGAGGCATCTTGCGTTGCACTTAATTGACTTGCTAAGGCCGATTCCCACGGCCCCCCTGCTGTCCGAGGTCGCCCAGGACCTGCCGACTGCCCGCGTTCCTCTTCGACGGGGAGCCGCCCCTCGGCTGGTCGAGAACGCGGGGTGCTTGGAGGGGCTTGCCGAGCTGCAGGTGCGCGAGGGCGCTCGGGAGTTCCACGGGCCGCCAGAAGTGGCCCTTCGGGGGCTGCTTTGCGAGAAGGCGTCTGGCTACGGGATGGGCGCTTCTTCGACTACGCTCGCGCCGTGCCGGCGCGGTTGGGTTTCCTTCCCCGAGAGAGGCCAGCTTCCCCGGCATCTCGGACTTAGCGGGGGACCGTGGCCGTTTTTTTCCTGGGGGGCGCAGGAGAACGCATGCTGGGCCCGAGCGTCAGCGACAATTCTGATGAGGCTGCTGAGCGTTGCTACGTTGACCCCCAACTCGCCAGCAGCCCCGCGCTCTACGCCCGCTTCGCCCGCGACCTCAGGGCCAGGAGCGCGCTGATCTTCGAGCGTACTGGTTTCTTTTTCGTTCGCGAGGAGAGCGGGGGGCTTCGGCTGATCCTCGACGCGAGGCGGACCGACGGGCGTTTTGCGCCCTCGCCCCGCGTCGATCTGTTGACCGCTGAGGGTCTCGGTCATCGATTCTGAATTGCCAGACGGTCAGGGCTACTCCACATTTTTCTGTGGCCTTGCTGGCGTCCAGGATGCTGTCCATCGGATGGGCATCCCAACCTGGCTCTCGCGTTGGTTCGGCCTGCCCTCCGTCCGCGCGGGCGACGTCGGCCTGGCGGAGACTTTGGACGGCCCTGTCAGGCCCGACGAGATGGTGGCGCCCATGCCTCGGTGCCTGCCCATGGGGTTCTCGTGGAGCCTTTACCTGGCGCAGGACGTTGACGAGGAGGTGGCCAGACAGGCGTTGAGCCGCGCCGAGCTGCTCCGCGATCGGGGCCAGACGTCGGTCCTCACGATGCGGGGTGATGCGGCCTATGACACCAGGCACTATGCCTACGTCGCCAACATCGGGGTCTTCGGGTCGGACGGCGGCATGGTCGCGTGAAAGTTGAGAACGTCTGCGCGGCTTTTCGAGGCGAGGTGCCTCGCCGCGCACGAGGTCTCAACCTCCGACGCTGGCGTCGAGGCGCTGAGGGTGCTGCTGAACAGCCGTCGGCGTCACGCGAGGCTGACAGCCGAGCGCTTCTGGCGCGTCCGAGGCGCTTTGCTGGCCCTCGCGGGCCACCGCCGCGCCTCGGGGCGGCAGGTGGATGGCGTCCTGGACCGCGCCACTTTCTGCGGGCTCGTGAGGCGCGAGACTTTGTCGGCGTTCGCGACGGTCTATCCGTTCATCAGGCGACACTGCGAGCAGCCCGCGCCCCTCTGGCCCTCGGTCGCGGGCGAATTGAGGGCGTTCGCTGGGCTGATGGCGCTGCTGGTCTCTAGCTGGGAGTCTGACTGGGGCCCCCTCGTCGTGGCCACTGGCGCCTCGGAGACTGGCTGCGTCATCTGCTTGCGGTGGTTCGACGCCCAGGACGTCGCCTCGGTGGGCCGCTGTCGCGAGCGCGATCGATATCTGGTTGAGGGAGACGCTGGAGCTCGTGCCGCTGCGCTGGAAGTCGAGCTGAAGCCTGGTGAGTCACTCAACGTAGACGGTTGCCTGGGCCGCGCCGGCTTCGAGCTGGACCCGCACTTCGCGGAGATGCCCAGCTTCATGGCCGAGCAGGCTGCCTGGGCCGCGGTCGGCGGCTGGGGGTTCGACCAGCCCGAGGACATCATGGCCCTGGAGGCTCGGGGCACGCTGCGAGGGTAGGAGGGAGTGAGTCGCACCAGGAACGGTCGCAACATTCGCCAGCTTTTTTGTTGACAATCTGGGCCTCGTTTTGGCCGCAGGATGGTGGCGGTGTCGGCGCTTCAAAATCCATTTCATTTTGCGCAGGATGGCTGCGTAGTGTCTCAGCCGCAACATCCATCTCTCTGTTCGCTGGATCCCATCCGAGAGGAGTCCTGCCGATGCTCCCTCTCGCCTGTTTGATCCGCAGCCGAATTCGGTAGCACCTAAGGAGGGCGATGTTGGCCGACCCTGCCCCCGTCAGAGCACCGCCCGTGACGATGTCCAGACCCTGGGAAAAAGCGGAGGGACCCTGGGGCCCAAGGACGTCGCTCAATGTTTGGTCAGTTGTTTTTTAAAGGCCCCTGGTGGTGGCCCTGGAGTTTTCGGATGTAGAATCACAGCATCCCGGGGCGTCGTAGCAGTTCTTGGGGATCCACGAGGCCAGCGCGTTGCAAATTGCCCCCGAGCTCGAGCCCCCAGCAGAAAACGCTGTCAGTGGGCCCGTTGGGCCGAGCCTCGTCTCCGTCGGCGTTTCGGCTTTCGCCTTACCTTGTGTTGCCGAACCCCTCTGCATCCAGCGCCGGAATTGGGGTGTTCGCCTCGTCGCGGCCCGAGGTCGCGCCAGCCGCAGCGTCCAGCAGGATGCGCGGGCTGGGGGGTTTGCGAAGGTGGTCCGCATCACTGCAGCACACTTCCCGGGTCCTGAAGTCGGAGGGCGAGCTCGGCGTCGCTGCTGGGGGGCGGTGGGACATGGCGTTGTTCGCCTGCCTCCTGTGGGGCACTTGCGCGCGCCCGATCCAGCCGATGGAGCTCAGGCCCGAGTACCTGTGCCCTCCCAGCCGAGTTGCCACTTGTTGGGCGTTGCAGCCGGAACCCGGGGCCGTGGGAGTTCCCTGCGTGGCGAAGGAGTTCGACGTGGCGATCAAACCGGGCCCCGGCTGGGTCAGCCCGACCCCTATGCTCCGGGCCATCACATCACGGCCGCCTGGCACATGGGTCTGGCTTTCCAGGTGCCCCCAGCTGGCCGTTGCTGTGCAGAGAGGCGCTCACGACCTGGGCTTTGCCCTCGTGGTGTGCCAGGCAAGGCGCGGCGGCGTCAGTTCGGACATGGCCTCGCGTCTTCATGCGCTGGCGGAAATCATGGAGAGGGGCGACTGGAAGTCGAACCGCTCCGTTGTGATGTACGAGATGGGGGCGAGGCTCAGCTCGACGTGGTTGGCGCATCCAAGCGGGTTGCGACGGCGCGCAGAGCTGTTCGAGGCGAGATTCGCGGGGATCTTGGTGCGCGGCCGAACGCAGCCAAAGCGTTTTGCTTTCCCGATAAGCGAGCGCCGATGGTTCATTCTGGTAGTCGGGCACCATTTCAGTGCACCGTCGAAGGTGGTCGCAGCAGGCTTTCTCGCGAAGTATATTGCAGACCCAGGTGTATCGGATTGCGTTTCGTTCAGACTCAGATCGGATACGCGACAGGGCAAGATTGTGAGCATTCCCGCCTCCATGCGGAGCCAGATTGTGTCGCAAGGCCTTGTTCGTTTGGTGCCAGACGCAGTGAGTCTCGGTCTTCCGCTGGCGGTCAGCTGCTGCAAATCCGTGAGCGAGCATGTTGCCGCCCGCCTTCCCGTGCTTCCCTCAGGGCTTCTATTTTCCCACATGTGTAGATACCAGGGGGCCTCTAGGGATTGAGTCGTCACTTTTGTCGGCGGCGTAGTACCTGCCGAGTTGAACCGTTTAGGGCTACATTTCCCTGGCGTGAGGGCCCGAGACGGCCACGGGAAACATGTCTCCCGCCCTCGCCCGTCGGAGCTAGTCCTTTCTTTTTTCCACCAGGCTGTCGTTTCCACTGTTTTACGCGCCCTGCAGGCGCGATGCCTTGCATTGTGAGAACAGCTTCTGTTTGGGGAATCTGACTTGGGTGTGGTTTCAGAGAGAGGCGAGTCGAGGCGCCCGCCCCTCTTGCCTCGGATCCGAGTCGCTTTGACCAGCGAGCCTAGTAGAGAGAACCGTTCCCCGCTGAAGAACCAAGGGTAAGTCACGGGGGTGCGCGCGCAGTAATGGCTTAGCGGGGTTTTGGGGTGTCGGTCTCATCGGTCCTCATCTTGGTGCTACTCCGAAGTCGTCCCGGCTCCCCTCCCTTCCGAGCCGCCTGGCTCACCCTCCCTTTCTCCTTTTTCTTTTCTCCCCCTTTCTACCAGGGTGTGGTTTCAGAGAGGAGGGAGTCGAGACACCCGCCCTTTTGGCCTCGGGTCCGAGTCGCTTTGACCAGCGAGCCTAGTAGAGAGAACATTTCCCCGCTGAAAAACCAAGGGTCCGTCATGATTTTGATGTGTTGATGATGGTGTTCATTGTGAGTATGAGGAGCATGTTGCCGATGATGACGACGATGGCGGTGATCATGGCGATGGCGACGGTGATGATTATGACGGCGAGACGGCTGCAGTTGGTGACGCGGATGTTGATGCAGCTGGCGATCATTGTGTTTGTGATGACGATGGCAAAGTTGGTGGCGATGGATACCATGGTGACGTTGTTGTTTGTATTGCGGGCAATATGGGACACAGCAGTGTGAATGGGATATGTTGAGGTGAGGGGGGCAGATGGGGAGAGGGAAGAACAGGTAATACCTCATGGACCAAATTACCAGAGAGCTGCTTCCTCCAGCCATGCCTCTCGGATCTCTGAAGCGCGAATCGAAAGATAGCTTCGGACTCCGACTTCTGATCTTGGGGCATGCCCCCTTATGCGGCCCGCACACCCGTGGCGGGTCGGGTCACCCGTGCCTCTCTCCTCTTCTGCCTGCTCTGAGCGCTTGACCTGCCAGATGTTATGCGTCCGTTGTGTTGGGAGTGCGTTGCACCGTGAGCCACGGGAATGTAAAGCTTGCTTGTTTGAAGCACCCCGCGATGGCCTCTCAATTTCAATGAATTCTCCATGTCTTGAGCTGCTTCTGAGCCATGCGCTTGAATGGCGTGCCCACCCAGTGGCACACCACCTCTGCTCCGCCTCATTCGAAGAAGAAGGGCTGCATACACATTATCTTTTGGAGGCCCGCTCGGCTTTCGTGGGTCGGCGCGGGACGCCCCTCCCTGGCGCGCGGAGCGCGCCAGGGGCGGTGCCAGAGACGCCGACATGGGGGTCAGCGTTGCCCTCCTCCCTCCTCCTCCCTCCTCCTCCCTCCTCCTCCCTCCTCCTCCCTCCTCCTCCCTCCTCCTCCTTCCTCCTCCCTCCTCCTCCCTCCTCCTCCCTCCTCCTCCCTCCTCCTCCCTCCAGGGTTGTCCGGAAAAGTCCGCGTGGACCTCCAACAGTTATGGTTTGCGCATGTCTCTGCTCCTCTGCCTGTGCCCCACACCTCGCCGCCACGTCCCCGCGCGCCAGTTAGGTTGTGTGTCTGCTTTGCGCCGTCGCGCAGGCCCGCCTTCCTCTGATGAAGAAGCTGCGCAGCAGCAGCGCAGCACGCGCCGCGACGGTCGCTCGTCGTCACGCCATGGGTGCCCCGAGACCGCGGCCAGGGACCCTGGGCTGCGCCGGACGGCTTCCAGGGCAGTTTCTGTTCCCGTGGGCTGCCCCAGAAATGAGCTCAGGAGCGGTCGAGCGGGCCTGGCTGAGGCAGAAAGCAGCACGGCTCCAACGTCCAGACCCGCCAAATCCTTTTGCGCTGCCCTGCGTGTCCTGCACCGCGCTTGGGGCCGCTGCGGGGCACTGCCAAGAGGAGGAAATGGCATCGATGTGCCGATGCCGTTGCGCTCCCGTCGTCGCCACGGCCGGATTGGCCTCGAAACCTTAACTTGGCATCGCTCGGACGTGTGCATAATTCTTTCGGCGAGGACCATCGAGGAGCATCCTTGGTCCTTTGGCGAAAGTGCCGCGCACGAGCCCGACAGAAACACAAAGAGTGGACGTCCGAGCGCTGGCCAGTGATCAGATCGGAGGGCACCAACTATACACCAACACCGATCCTGGCCCAGGATCACCCTGGGCCCAGGATCGGTGTATATGCCTTCTTGCGCAAGGCAGGGGGGCGTATACACCGATCCTGGGCCCAGGGTGATCCTGGCCAGGATCGGTGTTGGTGTATAGTTGGTGCCTTCCTATCAGAGCCCATCCCGGGAGAGGTCGGCATCGGCAGCCTGTTGGCTCTCCCCGGATGCCACAGGCAGGCACGCTTGTGCTACCTCGTGATGTGGCCAGCCGGCAGTCCTCTCGGGGAGGGCGGGCCGTTTCAAGGGGCTCTCCGGCCCGCCGTCGGAGGGAGGAGAAGCGATACCAGCACCATTAAGGGGGCCCACCTCCAGCGAGGAGGCCCACGATGCCTCCCCGAGCTGGGTGCCGGGGATGTCTCGAGCGAGAGGGGGGGAGCACACCACCACGGAGACTCCCCTTGCCTCCTCGCCCCTCCTCGCCCTGCTGGTGTTGGTGTCGCCTTGCCTTGCTCCCACGCCAGGGGCCGTCTCGTGGCTGGACTGGGGCTCTCGTCGGTGCTTCTGGGGCCCCTTGGGGGCCTCTCGGGCCCAGCTCCGGGCCTCTCGGGGCCCTGCGCCGTCTCAAAAGGCGCTCTTGGCCCGCCGGGCGCCTTCGGAGACCGTCTCCGGGCCTGTCTGGGCTGTCGTTGAGGTTCTCTTGAGGTGTTGCAGGGCCCTCTTGGGGTCGTCGCTTGGCATCGCTCGGACGTGTGCGTTTTTCCTCGGCGAGGACCATCGAGGAGCATCCTTGATCATATGGCGAAAAAACCACGCACGAAACCAAACAAAACACAGGAAATGGACGTCCGAGCGATGGCCAGGGTGGCTTCTTGGGTTCCTGGGCCATCTTGGGCCCCTCCTGGGCCATCCTGGGGTGTAGAGAGCCTGTTTCAGAACATCGCATCTTTGCCTCTTGGGGCCCTCCTGGAGGCCCTTGGAGCGCCGCATTGTGAGGGCTTCGTGGGCCGGCTTGAGGCCGTTCGTGGCCATCCTTGGAGCCATCGTGCGCCGTTATTAGGCCCTCGCGGGCCGTCTTGAGGCCATGTTTGGGCCGTCGTGGCCCACATTAACGTGGTCATTGAGGCTATCTGAGCCACCCTGGGGCCCTGGGGCTTTCCCAGGGCGGTAGCTGCCACGGGATGTCTCCTGTTTGGGCTTTGATTTTTGTTCGTGTGTTTAGGGAGGTCGAACTCGTGAACGCATGTTGGGCTTGATGCGACAGTGGGTCCCTACGTACTGCTTCGCAAGAAAAGTGGCCCAGCACACACACACACGCACCAACCGCAGGCGCGGTGGCGGACATGATATACGCGGCTGTTTGACCAGCTGTCCTCTGGCCAGCGATTCCTTGCTCCCCCTGCACCCCTTTTCCGCCCCTCCTCTTGGTTGCAACTCCTGGGAGGTTACAATTCAAGCCGATCCAGTTTCATCAGGCCCAGTCCTGCTCGGTCTGGCTTGGTCCTGTGCTCATTCTGGCCCAGTGTGGCCCAACGCCCCCTCCGGAACCGCCTCCTGACAGCCTAGATCCGCAGCCTTGGCACCGCGCCCGTCCCAGACCTGGTGCCCACCAGTTGCCGAGCGCGTTCTACTGCTCGCAGAGTGCCTACTCGCAAGAGTCAGAAAGCATACGTGCTTGCTTCGGTGTGATGTGTCGTAGATCCCACGCGGCGGACCCAGACCACGTTGCGAGCAATTCACCACGTTGCGAGCCGTGGAGCTCGCCTGTCTACCTCGGGCCGGGCGTGCCTGCCCGACGTCCGTCCGCCCGCCACGACAGGGGGGCGTGCCCATCGGGAGGGTTTTCCTTGAGCACCCAGGTGGTGGGCGACCGCCCACCTGTCGGGGGCGGAACAGAGGGGGGTGATGACTAGGGGGGGTGGACATCATGGCGTGGGCCATGATATTTCCGACTCCCCTCCTCCTCCCCCCTCCTCCCTCCCAACCTCTCTCCCTCCCTCCCCCTCCTCC